GGGACTATGACGGAGCGGCTCCAGTCGATTGGGACAGTTTCCTGCTCCCACAGTTTCACTAGTAACTCGTGCAAATCATCCACAAGAGCAGGTCCCACGAATTTGAAGAGGGCTGGAGGAAGATCATCTGGTCCCGCGACTTTAGTAAACTTCAACAGTCCGATCTCACGTTCGACTTGTGAGCGAGAGGGTGGATCCAAAGGAACAGCCCACGGAGCGGGGCGATCAGTGGCCGGCGAGAAATCTAACCATTCCGACCGATTAAATTGCCTTTCAAAGTGCTCAACCCAACGCTCCAAGCGTTTTGACAAGTTGTGGATAGGCTGTCCACTCTCGTCACGTATAGTTTCACTAACACCATGTCTCTTGCTGCCCGTTTCTCGTAGTAGTCGGAGTAACTTACGCTGTTGCTGGCGGTATGAGTTCTCAAGATTGTCCGACAATGGTAACTGTGTACTATTTGGTTCGTCTGGCTCAGTAGATTCGACATGGAGTGGCTCTGCTTTGGTAACAGTATCCGAACTCTGCTGGGAAGTTTCAGGGGCTGTGACTTTTAGTACATCAGGTAGTGGAGCCAAGTGACGAAGAAAGACCGTTTCCCCGACGCCATTTGACAATCGCACCTGTGCGTACACCGGATTACATTCCAGCAGTTCCACTTCGTCTACCGAGTGGTCATACTTGGAAGTTCGATTGTTCCGCTTTAGCAAGACTGGCCCAGGGGAAAGAAGTCAGCGCGGCAAAGATACTCCAGTAGTTGACTTTCTGTTATGTATAAACATCTCCGTGGGGTGCAGTATTTGTGGCCGTGCAGAGCAGTGATCTGATAGAATGTAATGCTGCGGGTAAAACGGACTCCCACTGCCGAATATCCAGTTCTTTGGAACAGAGTGCTAAGGTTATGGGCTTTCATAATGTCCCGTTCAGCCGCTCAACCTGTCCGTTTCCTTGGGGATTGCACAGGGCAACCCGGCTAATCGCGACGCCTTGACCGTGCAGGAAAATTTGCAGTTTGGTGGACATAAACGAAGAGCCTCTATCGGTGTGAATGTAGGATGGCATACCAAAAACAGTTGAGGCTGACATATCGGAGCACAGATAAGCAAAAGGGAACCATGAGAATTCATCAATCATAGTCAGTAAATATTTGTTACGGGTGGAGGATGGTAGCGGCCCCTTGCAATCAACACTCAGTCTTTCAAATGGCTGCGTGGCTTTAACAAGGGAGTGAGTTGCAGGTTGGAAAAATCGAGATTTTAGTTCAGCACAGGTGCGGCACTGCTGCAAAACAGTACGGGTTTCTTCAACGGAGAACGGTAAAATTTTTGAATGGACAAAATGTATCATTTGAGTTAATCCAGGGTGGCATAGTGTTGTGTTAAGTTGTTCGGTAGGCGTCTCGTTGCATGAACCTATTCACGGTTTGGCTGTAGTCGATTACCAGTCGTTTTTTATGGCGATCACTATACGTGAGAAGAACTTGAGCATGCCACGGCGAGTTGGACGGTTCGATGATATTTTCTTCGACTAATCTCTGAATTTCAGAGCGGATGAGGCATTGGTCTTCTGGCAAATATCGTATCGATTTCGTTGCAACCGGGGTGCAATTAGGAGTAAAATTTTTAAGCAACAAAGGTGCGTCGATACGAGCAGCTGCGAGTGAGCAAAGCGAAAATGATGGCTGTTCACCATGAAAAGGGATTTCGAGGCTTCTATGCAACTTCAGGAAATCGTGCCCCAGTAGGACATCTGCACACAAATCTGGAAGTACTGCGAGACGTACGCGCGGGTAGAAGGTGTCCTTGTGCTTCAGAGAGACGAAACAATGACCACAAGTCGTAGTTGTGTGTCGCGTGAAGGCCAAGACGATTTGGTTCTGTGACCTTTCGATGCGCCACCGATGAAGATGAATGAATCTTTCGGAAACGTAACTTCAGAACTGCCAGTGTCAACTAGAGCTCAGATATACACCGTTAAGGACAACGTCAGTAGTTGCACTTAGCAAACAGTCAGGCGCCGTCGCCGCATGTGAGGAGGACAGGATAGACGACGTGTGTTTGTAAGATCCGCGTGATTTGCAAGCCCTTTAAAAATGGCCTTTCTTCCCATATGACTTGCAAATAGCATCGCGAGCCGGGCACTGAGAGCGTGGATGACGTGCATAACCACAGAAGAAACAGTTTGAGCAGGTGATAGCAAACGGAGTAATAGGAAGGGGGGGGCGGTTTCTATGGGCGCACACTGGGCATCGGATGCAATTCCGTACGTGTGGCTGATAGCGTGGTCAGTAGACCCACGAAAGGCATCCGATTGTTTCTGTGCTATTTCCAGTGTTTTCGATTGGTCGACCGCTGTCTTCAAATCCAGCGTCTTATGTTCCAATAACCGCTGGCGGATAGGATGTGATAGGAGTCCACTGATGAAGACGTCTCGCACGTATTCATCCCTATGTTGTTCCGCAGTGACGGCCTGGAAGTTGCAGTCTTTAACGAGCGACTGAAGCTTTTGCAGATACTGTTCCACGGATTGACTGACGTCCTGCTTGCAAGTGGAAACCATGTGACGTGCAAAAACTTCGTTTTTCGGTTGCATGTACAGAGATTCCCGTATGGCAATGGCAACGTCATATTGCTGGCAATCAGAAATGTGGCGATAAACAGACGGGGCAAGATAGTTAACCAGTATCTTCAGTTTGTCAGGACAGAGGTTGTTAATTGAATCCAGGAAATTGCTCAAAGTGCGAAGCCAATGGGTCCAAGCGTCGGAGGCATCTGATGGGTTAGGATCGGCGGCGGAACGTTCCGGTCGAAGGAAGCGTTCCACTGTCGGTTTGTCAGAAGATTAAATTGTAGTATATAAGAACTCAGACACAAGGTAGGACGGTTGAGAGAGAAGACAAACGGTCCGTAGATTAGACTTTACTCATCTGACAGAATACGAGTATGGGCTAAAAGCAAAAGGATGCACGTGATTAATACTACAAAAATAATGAGAGCAATATGGTACAAGAATACAACACATACTACACATGTTCACTCTATCGCTGGAATCTAGCCACTTTCCAGACCAGTGGAAAACGTCATTTATTAAGCCTAGGCATAAAGGAGGTCCCAAACAAACGATTGATAACTACTGACCAATCCACCACACTCCGATAATCGCTCGGCTATTTGAAAAGCTGGTCAGAATGGAGATGATGAACGTTGCTGATTCTATTGGCCTGATCAATAATTCGCCGCATGGTTTTCTCAGTAAGCGATCGTGCACCACCTGTCAACTGCATTACCTTAATCACATTTCAGAACCAATCGATTCCGGCTATGCAGTACTAATCTTGTTTCTTGACATACACCAAGCCTTCGACCGAGTACCGCATAAGCGACTGCAACAAAAGTTGGAGAACTTTGGGATCCGGGACCCATTACTAGGTTGGCTATCGTCATATCTGAGTGATCGTCATCAGGTAGTCACTTTAGGTAATTATCGCTCTTCTCTACGCTCAATCACCAGTGGAGGGATTCAAGGGAGCGTGTTCGGCCCCTTACTCTTTTTGCTCTACATCAATGACATCACCACATGTGTAAAACATGGTACATCATTTTTATTTGCTGACGATATCAAACTAGTCTATAAGCTTCGGCGTGACGAGCTTCACGAGACATTACTGCTCATTTAAGATGATTTACATTCCCTTGAGTCATGATGCTGCACATAGGTGAGGAACCTCTCGGCTAAGAAATCAAGCATCATGTCTTACGGCTGCTGCATCCCCGAAGGATCTATCACCCTAAACAATGAACGCGTCCCCACACAGTTGTCCACGCGAGATCTTGGCATTAGGTACTCGTCTACCTACAATTTCTCCGAACAAGCCCAATACCAAGTAGCACGTGTCAGACAGTCTATGTTCAATAAAACAAAATGCATGCAACTCGTGCTGAAGTTGAGCTTTCCAAGCTACTCACTCGACTCATCCTCGAATACTGCAGCATAATATTCGGCAATAAGAGAAAGAGTGACAGAATTGCGGTGGAGTACCTGCAGAGGTCATTTACTAAACATCTGCTTGATAAACACTGCTATGAGTTATCGAGAACGTTGCAATGAACATCATCTCGAACCAATTTGGATTGAACGATTGAAGCACAGCTTGTCGCTACTTTTCAACATGTTACACAAAAACTCCTATTCCAACCTGCCTACACTCAATTTACAACATTGCTCAACTCGAGCGCTTCGCAACAGAGATTTTACATTGAATATACCGAAGGCTAGAACGAACGTCTGCTCTAATTTCTTCCTGGTCAGATACAGCTATCTGTGGAATAAACTACCAACCTGTGTGTTAACACAGGTCATGTGACAACGTGGCAACATTTAGAAACAGACTCGCCAATTACCTTGATCTAACTACCTAAGCTCTATATTCACATGGGAAAAATCCCTCGATGAGCTATTCCAAGAGGGGCCCAGAAACATATGAACACCAATGTTTTCATAACTAGGCTTTTGGCCTCAACCATCTGCCAGAATGTTAATACATGAAACGCATATCCCAATACTCCACCTATGCATGTCACCCATGCAAGAGCATGGATTCTTCTGTACAAATTGATCTGTGCCGCTATAGACACAGTTTCTCTCATCAAGAGAAATATACGTATTATTATTATTATTATTACTACTACTACTACTATGTCAGTTATGGTATGGTTGTGTGACAACACGATGAAGTGAGAAAAAAGCCAATCTTTAGTAGGTCGTTGTGAAGACGGTGAAAACGGTCATTTAGGAAGTTCATAGAAAAATGGTGCGCGCGTGATGATACTCACTAAAAATGAAACCAACAAGGGAATCCATAGATAAGCCATCGCGCCTGGGAACAGGCTTTCATGACTGCACAACCAATGAGCCGTTCTTTTCAGAGACCAGAGAATTGATGGGAGAGCCGATGCCATCTCTCAGTCTCGCATACATTCCCTTTTCGAACTCGGTTTCAGGAAAAGAGAGCTGTTTCGAAAGGATTGCCACAAAATTCGGTCGCAAATCGGTCTATGTCGTAATTGGCGACGGGAAAGAGGAACAGGATGCTGCGAAACAGGTGAGTGGTTTTCAATCAATTAAAGTGCTAGTGTAATATGCTGCTGGGTTCATAAAGTCTATTTTTACTTGACTTGAACGCACAAATTGATAGGCACTGTTGCTCTCCGACATATAAATTCTACAGCCACTGGAAGTACTATGAAGCCATAGTAAGAAGATTAGCACCTATCCAATTTCTTGGAACCGACTGAGATTTCATAATTTCGGAGAGTTTTAGAATACAAATCGGTTACGTATGGGCTTGTCTTGTGGCTACGTTTCGCCCTCGCCGGAACAAAAGCAATTTGTATTCCAAAACCATATGAAATTAAGATTGGTATTTAGTTTGAAGGAATTTAGTGAGACAAGCAAATGATACACGATGTTGCAGAACTAGATAGGATCAGAAAGTTAAATGAAGCATAAGACTGCGTCATTCGGGGTAAATAGCCGTCATTCAAACCCGGTAGACCGGTATAACGAACCTGTCAAATGGCATCGACCGGTCAAGGCAATTCTACCGTTGCCTTTAAAAATAAGCACTCCATTGGTTTCTGGCCGCTTGAAAATGGGACCAGGTTGCAAGTCTCTACAAGAAGCGACGATCTAAAGTGAAGCTACTGGGGCGTTGTGCTGCGAACTACCATCGACATTACACAATAGCGGTTGATGTGCACTCGTGTAGCATAAAAACATCAGAAAATGCGAAAACGTATGAAGCAACCAGTGCTTCTGTTCGAAATACAGCCCACAATTTTAATTCAGAATGCAGCAGACAATGAGAGGAACCCCAGTCACTTCGAACAATGGGAATGTGCAAGAACTCAGCAAATCGAGGTCCAAAATGTGCGTATCGAGATAAAATCACAACGAGTGCAAAAATTGCTGATCGATGGTATAAAGGTGGAAGCATCCCAGACTTGAGTTCAAGCTTCGGTTACCACTACTTGAGGAGAAACTCTGGCGGTAAGTAGCGGGTCTCGCAGCTCTGAAAGTCCTAAGTCACACTGGGCGGTCAAACATATTCAATAAGGGGATGCTATCTGCTAGAAAGTAAAGGTGGATGTCAACATGCTTGCTTTATAAATGATGGCGACGGAGAACTAATTGTACAGCCCCAGTGAAAAATTTGGCAGTGGCTGAGAGCCAAAGTCAGAATGCGATGCTGTGTGACCGACGGGCTCCGTGATCAGAGTGCCCTTACAGAGGATATTACCGAATTGCTCCTAGTTTTAGCTTACTAGGTGATCGTCCGGAATGCATCGAAATTGATAAGGCTGAAGGGGATTGTATGTCAAACGGATGTTAGGCGTTGCACGACACATATACTCAGTGGTAGACACAAACTGACGAGACAATGAAACAACCAACCAGGAGCATTACAGCACCGAGACCTTAGGTGTCACCCAGTAGAGAGCAAGTGCAGATGGGAACCGCTTCGTACTGGCTAGCATGGGTGGGTATATGAATGAAGTTTGGAATGATACACATACGCAAGATGCCTGTGTCCTGACTATGACACAATGCAGTCTCTCACTATCATCTCGACAAATTGACTATGCGATCAAATGTACAGAATTACGTGTGGGTGTGAGAGACATTTTGGTAAGAATACAATAAAATGTGCCAACACCAAATCTATTAGGCACTTTAACCGTAGCGTCGAGGCTATTTATTTCGTGTGCGCGTTATTATAGCAAAGATAATATCAATGCAAAGTGCTCCTTGGCCTTGTTTGATTTATACTGATTTAAATGACTCGGAATCAACAAAATGAATGCATGAATTACTCTCGAGAAAATGCAACGCAATGAATACATATTGGCTTCAGATAGCGGCCAGATGGTTAGAAGAATAATGGCCTCCGTGTTGATGAGACCGACCAGAACCTTGTAGGAGCGCTTCTAAGGTGCTAGATTCAGAACTAATACCCCGTTGTTTTTGAATGCCGTGAACAAGTAGAAACATGTATTCACCTTGATATATTTGATGCGCCCACAACTTAATGGCGGAAGAGAAGAAGGAAACCTGCGAAGGAAGATTGCGAGGTGTTGATGTGCCTCAGTGTGCAGTTGTTCAAAGTTTGTATTGATTGTGTGCTAGCTGTAGCTTTTGAATGATGGTCAATACAGCTGGTAAAACTGTGAGGTGGCTTGGTATATTGTTTTGTCAGTCCTTATATAGCAAAAATATGTGTGGTAAAAGGATGATGTTACTACAACGTCAATGAGTGAGCTGCGAGAAAATGATATGATATGAAATGACGTGCCGACGAGGAAGAAGATAGGAATGATGTTATTCATGACGCCCTCGGTAGTTCCAATGATTGAGAAACCAAAGTGAACAATGAACAATGAATTTATACGGTTAAAAAGCGTTGCTTTACAAGTCCCGTTGGATAGTTGGTGGGGATATCAACATAACAATAATGATGATAAGGATAGTAAAATAGTTAACCGTTTAAATATGAAAATAAGGACTTATCGTTTGCTTCGCTGCAGTCCTGCGATCCTCTTAGATTCACAGCATCCACAGTTAACAAATAATTCCCTGGTAAACTCCAGGTGTAGGATGGAGACGTAGTGTTAAGTGACAAAGTGTAAGTGGATGAGTGCATCGTCCAACCGTCTTTTAAATACTGTTAGTGTCGGTGCAGAGACGACCGGTTCTGGGAGAGCATTCCACGGATAACAGAACCGGTCGTCTCTGCATCGACACCGAATTATACCGAATGGTGCTGGCATCAATCTGATCTTTGACGAGCTTACTTTTCGTTGGAGCACATATTGAATGAAAACGGTACCAACTTTGAAGTGTGCACCGATCCTAACGTCGAACCAGGCTTTTACGTGTGGTAGTAAGAAAAGCTAGCTCATGATTCGTTCATAGGTCTCAACACAGCCGTTCCGGTTTCGGATTGAGACGTCCAAGTCGAAAACCGAGTCCAACAAGAAGAACGCTGCTTATGTATTCATCACTTTCCAACTAGGTAACAACACACTGGCTAAAGTATTTCGAAATTGACAAGTTTGGGCGTTGCACATCTAGATTGTGGCCATAGAAACAGTAAGTGCGCACTGAGCAGTTAAACGCAGAAAAGCACAAAATAAAGCGGAGAGTTGCAACCCATTGAATGTTGAAATATGATTGAAAATGCCACCCTGTTCTGCATTTGTTTTCAGCTCCATTGGCCATTCTGGCGAATCGGCTGCCATTCAGATATCATCGCATTAAGCCACGCTCTGGGAATGGGATACTTGTGAAGAGCACCGAGTACAATCCTTCTCGATGGGGAATGTGCCGATTATGAATGCCTATTTGGAACTGTACATATAAAAATTGGGTAAAAACACGGGAGTTTTCATGCATTACTCGTATAACACGACAGAAGCGGTGACTATTGCAAGCAAACAATCGACACGAGAAAGCCTCAGTACCTACTTTTTTAATAATGACCATTCATTTGCAAAGGGTAAAAACTAGCAGTTATGTACGGTTTCCGTACACGTATTAATGAAACAAGTTTATACAACAGGTTGCTGATAAATTGCCATCCGAAGCAGTAACTAAAGATGTACTCGGAATGGTCTCATGCCTTTCCAAAAAGTCAGATGAGGAAACGGATGGATAAAAAAGGAACTTTCGCGACAAAGATGGGTGTTAGTTGTCAGCTATCAAATCGTAAACATTCTCAAAGCGATCTCAGTCGCATGACAATCTTCGAGGAGGTTACGCCACACAATAGTTGGAAGAAAGCAATGGGTTCTGTTACTATCATAAGTGACAGCAACCATGGCCAGTAGTGAGCGAAAGGCAAAGAGTAGCCCGGTTACCAAGAGGATGAACAAACTAAATCTGAGAGGATTAGATAAGAAAATGGCTAGGGAGATTTATGGTGGTTATACTATGCTATTGCGAGCATTTACGGTAAAGCATAACGAGTAAAGCATCGACTCAAGGGGACAGTCATGAACGCAAAAATTAGTCAGAAGGTTGGACAGTCGATTCCATCTTAGGTTTAGTAAACTAAACGTTCTGTCAAATATTTCAGCGAGTAGCTAAGTCGATTCAGCTGAACATCATTCAGGGCTATGACGCTATAAGACCAGACTCCCATCATTCGGTAAGAACGGAAACACCCGAAAAAGAATAAGATGCTGGTATCGGTGACTTCTCTATATTGTTGTAAAGAGACAGTAAAGAAGGGCTAGAAGTTAGTCAAAATGTTCGGTCCAGTAGAGAATAAAGCGTCTATAGGATGGCAGTTGGCTTGCGTTCTCGCCCTAAAAGTGCCGAAGACAAACCAGTCGTCGAGACACTAATCGCATCGTTTTCGCGTATGAACCACTAACGCCTCGCACTCTAGCGCCAACCGGATGAAGAGAGCAGAAATGGCGAAGACCAGACCGAATACAGACACAGTACCAACGGAACAGAAGCGACAACGCGTAAAGGGTGAATATGTGAAATCACTACATAGTCCGTTGGACAACTGGGTTGAGAACTGTATCACAGCAAGTAAAAGGTCGCGAAAAATGTTTGCACTGATTCAAGTGAATATGTGTACTTAACTGCATTTGGCAAAAGTTCGGGCGATTCGTAGTGAAAGAAGGGTTTATGTAATGAAACGGGGTGAAACAGGCATGACAACTAGAAACCTCTTAAAAGCAGCCGAATTCAGACAGCGTTTCTGAGTTTGTAGGTCGAAGGAAAAGATGCTGCCGACGGCAGCCCAGAAGACTGTAAGATATATATATATATATATATATATATATATATATATATATATATATATATATATGTATATATATATATATATTTCAATTAACTACTCATTAAGGTGCTGAAGACGGGTTTCAGCGGGTGGCTGATAGAGGACGTGGAGTGACGTGTAGCTGCATTTCGTCAGATGTGTGAGCCATCGATGGATGACTGGACTCTTGTGTACAGTCATCTGAGTGCAGCAACCATAACTAACGCACAGAACAGCGATACGCGCTGTGGTTGTAACACATCATCATCGTCAATACGTTACCTAAGGTGAGAAAGACAACTCAGCTAATGTGCTATAATACAAAAAGATAAGATGCTGAAAAATGGCCCTACAAAAATATCCAAAGCAAATAATGTACTGTTAAACAATAAATTTTGCATTTCGTATGAGATCGCAATTTGAGGGGAATCTAAAGCGGAGGGAAATGGACAAAGAAACACAACACACACGCCATTGGAACCGGCTCTTCGCCATATCAGCAAGTGTGTCCAACCAAACGTGACCATCGTTCTTAGGACCCCAGCCCAACAGTCGGGATGCACCAACCGACGCCAACTTCGAAGTGAGGGTTTCCTTTTCTCTCGACCAAGTCATCACTCACCCTCTTCCAACTGCACCCCGGCGCACAAATAATGCACATCACAGGAGTCGGTGTGCTGGCATGCACAACAATTTGTGATCCGACGGACTGCAGTTTTGAAGCACCCAAGAATACGTGATACATCACCGCATAATGTCAACTCGCACATACTTCTGGTTGCCCAGATTATGAGCGTGTAATCAGATCGTCTAATCTCTGACGAAAGTCAATCAAGTGAAATGTTTAGGTTTGAGTCCGGAAGTAACGAAAAAGTAGAGCGTTTACTAAAACGTCTACTAGGCAACAGCTGTTCCTTAGTCGTACCGACCCCGGGAACGCTAAGTATCGTTGTGCCGCGTAGCGTTCTAGGGCCGCTGGCAGATGATGGACCAAGTCAGACCAATGAAGTTTAGGGCAGTGAGGCTTCATCACCGCTTCTTCTAGAATAAAACTGCAAAGCTAGGTAAACGATTCTTTCGATTGGTGACAAACTGACTGTTGTACAAGTTAACCAAGAGTCCCAGTGGAACATGCTACCGTCATCTTAAGACATAGACACAGTTTTTGGTGCCATTGATGGCACGATGGCTTCTGATTGATGCACCGGCAACCGTCACTACACTGGACGCAGCTGCCCTTGAGTAAACAGTAATTAAAAAGTGTAAAAGCGCTGACACATTGTCCATACAAAGCGTTCGGGTCAATCATTGACTATCTTCTTGCGCCTTATCAGTACAGTTGTTTCCGTTAAATTATAGCCATATAGCGGTGGAGAAACAGTACGATGGGCAAATCTACCGGTGATGATAAACCTACAGCTTGAAGCGCTCGTGGCCTCAGAGATTTTTTCACTAATTCTAATTGCTGTTTCATAGTTCAAGGTGGTACTCGGAGAGATGATTCAGGGTGTAGATTCGAAACCGATAAGTTATCATCCCCACCATAATCATCAACAGCAGTACATCAACAATCTGAACTGATGCTACATTGCAATACAACCATAACGACCTACGGAAGGAAGAATAATAAGAAAGAGAGAAGGGGGACTTGGGAGAAAATGTTAATGCCCTAAGCAAACATACAGAGTCAACAACTTGCGATCACAAACAGCTGGATATCGCGCAAAAATAAGGTGGCATTAAAGGGACCGTTTGCTTTCGGCTTTCACTTCGCCGCATTAGCCGGCAGTCCGGCTAGGAGAGGGAAGCAGACACAGCACTGATGCAGACTGCGAGCCATGTCCTGTAAAGTCTTGAGCCAAACACAAGTCCAATAACGTGGACTCTAGCCTGGAAGGCGAGGCGGACCGACGGCACTAAGTTTCATCGTCAGTGACTTCATTTCCCGACGGTAAGCCAACATTTTTCCACCTCGAGCTTTGCGCCACCCTACATCTGCCAGACAAAACAAGGCCCTCTTCGGTAAACGGGGACCGGGCATATGCAGTGCGTGCCCAAGCCAACGCAACTTATTCATTGCTATCCGCCGTTCTAAGGAAGCAGCTTGGGTATCATTGCCTAGCACTCGTCTACGCACATCATGGTTGCGGATACGCTGGTGCCATGTGACACCCGTAATGCTCGGCAGACAGGGATGATCAAAGAGTTAGAGGCACCTCAGATCTTCGGACCGAAGTCTCAATCACACAGAGTAGGGCGGACCTCACTGTAGCCTTGTAAACACGGTCTTTCAAACGGCGGGAAACCCCTATTTGGCGCAGATTCAAATAGAGTTCTGGCTTTTGCAATACGTGAACTGACTTCAATGGCTATGCGCCCATCGATGCCGATGCAGCTACCAAGGCAAGCGAATTAATCAACTACTTCGAGTTCCTCGCTAAGGTCAGGGGATCATCATATGGTTGGTGGTCCTGCAGCAACATTATACCATTTGAAGGTGCGAAGCGCATAACAAATAAGGAGACCATCTAGAGAAGTTATTTAGGATTGATTGGGCCACCAGAACATCGTTAAACAGCAAGACGATATCGTTCGTACAATCAACATCAACTGGCCCTTAACCAGGCAGTATCTCAACGCATGCACCGTGAGAATCCGCAAGGAAACACTGCATGAAGAAGTCCACAAGGAAATTGAACAAAAACGGGGCAATCGGACAACGCTGAGGAGCATCACCTGTTGTCGGAAATCTATCCGGCAGGTCAAAGTAGACCCTGACGCGGCCTGTAGTGTTGGAGTATAGAGAACGTCCAACATTAATATATTTCGTGGGAACACCTTTGCACGCCAATATTTCGGACTGAATGCCTCAATCAACTGAAACAAACGTATGCTTGAAATCGAGCAACATAGCAACTGTCGGTCTGCGGTACGTGTGGCGCAGAGTGAATATGTAGTCTATACAGCCACGTCCAGGACGAAAAGCTGCCCGCTCTTACATACTCCGGGATTCACGTCCCGCAATGAGGCGATGAACGAGAATCGAAGTTAGTAATCTTATCACAACTGGTGTTAGTCTAATACCCCTGTGGTTAGCACGTTCGGTGCGACTAACGTTCTTGTATATTGTAACGATAATCGATTCACTCCAGTTAGTCGGGACGGCTTCTTCCTTCCATACATATTCGAACAGGGAGGTCAATGCATTGCAGAGGACCTAACCATAATAATTAAATACTGCAGGCGCGAGGGAATCCGGACCAGGAGCACGTAAACCATTGAGGGCTGTGATCGCGTTTCGGACTTCAGCCTCTAAACTGACCGTCTATGGCTCATGCTGCATTAGCTAAGTAGAAGGAGGTTCGGAAGCACTGGGCCAACTGAATTGATGTTGAGTGTTCCGCCCAACGAGCCATATGGGCCTCCTTATTGTGAATCAGAGCACCCCCAATGTCATTGATTGGTCTACTAGATCATCTTGTCAGAGCTCAGGTTCCGCTTTAGTTCACGCCTAATAGTCCGTATGGTCACACTGTACTCAGAGCCAGCAGGGAAGTCTCTTCTGTATTCCCACGGGTTAATCGACCTCTCGGGTATCCAGTGACTGGTGCGGTGACGACTGTTAGTATCACAAACAGATGATCCTGCACGGCGGCTGAAATCCTATTCCACTGAAGCTCTGTCTTTAGGACAAGGGGGCGAAAGTTCGTTACGCAGTGCATCCCTGTAGGCTAGCTTGACAGAGGGCTGGGATAATTTCTCAGTCTCCAATCGGCGGAGACGCTTGGTGCGCCTCCCGGTAAAGTCCATGGAAAAGCGACAGCGTACCAAGGCATGATCAGAGTCGACGCAAGTACTGCAGAACGAGCGACAAGCAGGATGAAACCACTTATGTCGACGTGATCTATCAGGGTCCATCGCTCGCCAGCTACAGAAGGATGTCAAGTGGCACTTCGGCGCCCAATGTGTCGGAAAGCAGTGCTAAGAAGAAACAGCTAAAACTCCGCACACAGTAGCAAAAGAAACTCGGCGTTATCCGTCCATTCAGACTTAAGCCCATAATTACCAACCTAGTGGAGCTACAGAAGAGCCCAGGAGACATACTTGTGCATGCATATCCCCTGCAAGTAAAACGATCTCTGAACTAGTAGCACTGTGTAGTAGCGTGTTCAGTTCTAGGTAGAATGCGGCCCTGGCAACACAAGAACTGCATTCGGTGGGAGCATAAGCAGAAACCACAAATAAACAGCGTCTTGTACTACTTCGTGAAGCAACCTTGGTCGACGTCAGCAAACGTGTTGTACACAAACGAATGTTCACCGGAATCCAGTCAACCAACAATGACTTAGCCTTCGAGCTGAGTACGGTACCTAACCAAACTTGATCAGAGGCTGCCGCATCAGTGTCTCCGCATGCATGCAACCAACAGCAAGAAGACAATGCAGGCAAAGTGATTTCAGCAACCAAGTGAGAGTCATTGATCCTAGTTTCAGATACGCAACACACGTCAATACCCAGTGTGTCCAAAAGCCGTGCGAATGCAGCCTGTTGACCTATTTGTGTTAGAGTGCGAACGTTGAACGCCGTCAGGGAAACGGGATACTGTGGTTTTACAACTGTTGCCGATAGGCATCCAGTAGGTTGTGCGGGAAAGTAGCTGCAGATGGATCGGCTTCAGTGGCATTACGGCTGCTGTCAATTAACCAGTATGCAGCAGATAGAACGACCCTTGATAATCTGCGCGACGGCCGTTGTAGGGTGTGGTTGAAGTTTGAATAAATAGTGATGGTTGTACGTGGACTGAGATACTGCCAAGGTGTCTAGACTTAGAGAGAAGAACGAGGGTCCTTAACCAAAGTCTTACCACAAGGGTACAGGAGGTAGTAATGATTAAGTTTTCAAAAATGGATGTCATCCCGTTTCAAACCCCTTCAAGCTGGAGGACCAGGAGACTGAGTTTGTCTAACCTCTATCCATTGACTAAGCTGATAAGAGTGGCTCACAATTGGCCTGGGGGCACCGCTCAGTAAAGCTCAACAGACCAGAGGTAGACAAACGGTCGCACCACGTTAAGGTCCAGTCTCGTTGCGACGGAACCGATAAGTTAAATCACTAACGACTATACAAAATACAGAGGCAGAGTGTATGACGAGGGTAAAGTGCTGAACGGTTGGTCTCTGCCGTTCACCACAGTTAGCATAAATTTGTGGGAGAACGTGACTACCACTAGGATGCGCGTTTACAACCATATTTTCAAGACGCAAACTGACGCACATGAGTGAGATACAGTGGGATTCCATAAAAAGTGTTTACCATCGAAATGAAACCCACTGGCCTGAAACGATGTTTGTCAAGCTACGTGGCCACAACCCTTTCAAAGTAGGACGGTAGATGAGCATGTGTAACGAACAGAGCAGGGCGCAAGTGTAATGCAGCTAGAGGTGTATCCCCATCAAGGTAAGGGGAAGTTTCAAGACAATGCAAGATTCGGTATGATCACACGCAGATATGACGTGGTTCCAGATAGGGTAAAGGGAATCCATGGATGACACGAACCTATGTGAGCGTTAAAAAGAAGGTTCGTGTGATGCGCCGCAAATCGTACCATAGCAACTTCTTGCTTCTGATCTTTAAACCTTTAGCTGACGGAGCAGGATCATGGGTTTTCAAGTATTGAGGTGTATGGCAAGCTGGGAGATACAGTACAGCCGAAAAACTGTCCACATGGTGTATATAGTGAGGAGTACTTTTCAAACAGCTGTCCCAAGTGGGATTTTTAACGTCACAACAAGGGCATCGGAAAAAGTGTGAAAGTGAGAAAAGGCTCCAGTTTAAACCAGACAGCCTCGCATGACAGACGGTGAACATGAGAGAATCGCAAGTGCATGGGAGGAAGAGTGGGATGACAAAATGAAGTGGCATGTTCCAAAGGATGTCAGGCACTAAATCAATTCTTTGTAGCTGAGGGAGAACAGCGAGTATGTTTTTGATGTAAGAAGGTTTCCTGGAAAGAACGCAGAGGGAAAGTGCATAAGAAAATGTGTACAAATAACGAGAGTTATAAATGTACGAGTAACGAAGTTTTAGCGTCGGGACGAACGACCTGGTGATCGAGAATGTCGCCGACGATCACGTGACCGCGACCGAGATCGACTTCGGCGTTTTCGGCCGTAGCGCTTCTTGCTCCGATTATATAGCTTGCGGCATAACTCTCTTGAGATCGGTTTTAAATGCATGAAGTTGCAAAATCCGCCGCGCGTGCACTCTCTGAAAGTGGAGGTGAATAACAGATGTAATGGTGGAAAATGTTAAAGTTGAAGTGCTGAGGGAAGCAAACTAGAAAAACCAGTCTCATGAAGGACGCAAACCGTTTTCAAGTCTGGCATACCGCTGTGCACCTGGATGTCGCAATGTAGGGTAAGATAAGCCTGGTGTGTAACAAATTTTGATGTGGTGAGTATCTAACTCATACACATTCTGCGGAAAGACCTAAAATGTTGAGACAACAAGGGCAGAAACTGAATACGAGCTTTCATGGAACAGCATGAAAGTGCCCAATGTGTAGCTGTTGGAGCTTTCTAGTTAGGCAAAGCGCAATGACATCGGACATTCAGTGGAGGGTTGTAGACGGAAGTTGCCACAGAGCTTGGAGTGGTATCTGGACAGTTGAGGAGGCGTTGATATCAATAGTTCTATGGAACAGAAAATCAAGATAATCGACGTATAACAATACTGAAGAATTCAAAGAATTGATCAGTTGGCCAAAGAACTTTGTAGCTGTCACAGTCTGCACTTCTAACACATGCTCACAGATTTATGCCAGTAGCGTTAAACGGCAGAAGTCTATGTTCAAGACGAAGCACAGTAAGCGGTTAACGGAACCAGCCAACGGATGAAGCCATATAACGTAAACTCGAAGCGTGTAACCCATTATGTCAGAGGTCATGGGATAAATATTCTGACAAAATTGCTTCACGCATGGGCCAAAATAGGACACTAGGAGTGGATAATTCCGTGGATTCGATAACTGTACTTTAAGTGCGGACGACAGGTTAGTTGAGGTCAACTTCAGTGACTGCAGAAACTTGAAATGGCATTCGATTGGAAGTTTGAGAATTGACAGGTGGTGGGTGGCGAAGGTCTGTACAACGGGAAAAACTAGTTCTTGAAGACACAAGAATATGCTTTTCAGATGAAGAGTCCGTAACTAGTCTCAGTGAAACAATAGTTGAGAGGAGTTGGTAAACGATGAAATCCCATCGTTAGGCAAAATATTTTGAAAAATGACCCAGATAACCCAGTAACAAGTCGTTTGCTGATTAACCTGTACCCAAATGGGGCGTGCAGGTAGTAATTCTGCACATGGAAGGTTTCAAATATAAACGCGCGACTTTAAAACGAACCTCCCTCCATCCATGACGACTCACTCGTGGTTGATCTAGCTACCGCTTCCGACCCCTTGAGATATAAGATGGGACAGACCACAGCCGGTGGTTGACAAACATCAGCCTCACAGTTGAAAAGTGAAATTGTGGTACATAAAGATCATTGACACGGTAGCATCATTGTGATTACCCGTGAGGTGTTTAAAAGTAATATGTATCGAGGAATAAAAAGCGCACCGAAATCTGACGCGGATTAAGTCACATTGAGTTCCGAGTGAGTATAAGGCTCACTCAGTGATAAATCGATTAAGAAACAAACGACCCGCAATCAGCTTACCACTGCGATGCCTTCCCACTGAATGACGTCGTTAAATCGGTGGAGTGCGCTTGTTCCTATCACAGTTTGCCGCTGGGGGAGTTGAAACAGAAAATGATGTCTATTCGGGAATCGCCACATTTTGAATCTCGGTTTATGGGTTTAAGTAAAAAACCCACCACGACTGCATGCAAAACAGCGTAATCGTGAAGCTAGTGGATCAGCGATATTCGATTTTTCGCCTTGAATACAACTATTTCGCCAAGCAAGTGCAACGGCCTACGAGTATCAGTTTCGATCTAATGCTTGTGTTAGTGTTAATTGGCAGTAACCTAAGCGAACTCATAAATTCGATGAGAGAACAGTTAGTTTCTTTCATTAAAAGGGATCTGCATTTGAACTTTATTAGTATCTGCCAGGAAAGGTAGCGAGGGAACCATAAAAAGGATGGGAGGGAGATAACATCTGGATCGAAGACCACAGTAAGACCGGCCTTTTCAACAAGATTGCAGTAGTGGGGTGACAACTGCAAAAACTTTCCACCACGCCATAGCCACACTGAATAAACCAGAAGAGGGCCGGGCTTATAAACGAGAAAATCATACGAAACTGCGTATGATGGAAGCATGCAGTCAGAGTGGGTGCATGAACCCGAGAAACGAGCAAGGTAGCCGATGGGAGGCGAACCGAACGGGTTCAATCAATGGAGGAAGAATGTTTGGTTGTCCACCTAAGAGGACCCGTTAATCAAATTAGCAACAGTTCTTCGTTATCGGGTTAAATTGCTCAAAGGGGAACATAGCACCGTTCATCGGAGAAAAGCAATAATAGGTATATATATATATATATATATATATATATATATATATATATATATATATATGTAGTGTACCTACAAACGCTGCGCCTGTTTTGCCTACATTCTCTGCAGAACCCGTCGTCGCTTCGGTAGTGGTCCCGAGTGGCCTCCCTCATGGCTCACTAAGCCTGCGTGACTCAGGCTCTCGCGACCGCATATGCTACAGCACCATGCGCTTGATGTCGATGGAGTGCCACCCATCGGTGCTTGCCATTTCCGCACTTGCCGCTTCTTCTCTGCATGCATAAGGGCTTTCTCCTGCACCTCCGCAACTGCCTTCGTTATCAGTTCGCACAATGCACGCCGATCAACCGCCTTCGATTCCCATGATCTGCAATCAAGATTAGAACGTGAGAGCCTCAAGTTAATCATGTCCTGGTAACGTAAGTTGGGTTTCCCTACGTGCCGTTTCCCTATACTCAGCTGACCATATAAGAGTTGCTTCGGTATCCGCGTTGAATCCATATGGCTCACTGGACCGAGCCACCTCAGGTGTCTCAGCAAAAGTATGCAGTCCACTGCATACAACATTTCATTACGGCGCAACACTTCCGTGTCTGCAACTCCGTCGCCCCAACCGATCCGCAAAATCCGTCGCAAGTACTGCTGATGCAACCGCTCGAGATATCGCACATCCCGACGGTACATCGTCCATGTTTCACTGCCGTATAGAAGAACGGACAGCACCATCGATGTGTACACCATCAGCTTTGTGCCAATGGTAAGCTGATGGTTGTTCCACACTCGGTACTCAAGCTTTCCGAATACCGCCGCTGCCTTCGACACACGGATACGCAGCTCAATGTGTATCTGCTGATCAGTCGACATCACACTCCCAAGGTAGCAGATGCGGGAGGTGGTTTCCAATACTTCAGCACCAATGCTGATTCGCGGCAATATTGAAGATGGCACCTCCGGTGAAGACTAAAAGAGACAGACAGTTTTGCTTGTGTTGATGGTGAGCCAGAATTTGGCCGCTATCAAAGCCAGAGCACTAGTCATATGCTGCAACTCATCCGTGTGAAAACAACGCACAGTCGTCAGCAAACAGCAACAGATGGATAGTTGTCTCACAGACCAGAATTTTCGCACCGAAACGACGGATGTTCAGCAACCCACCATCAATACGGTGCTCCACACGAACACCGTAAGCACAAGCGGCATCAAAAGCACAGGACAACATTGCATGAAGATATATATTAAACAGGACAGGAGCTAAGACGCAGCCTTGCTTCACACCAGTGACAACTGCAAAGTCATCCGAGGTCTCTCCACTCAGCTGCACCCTCGCTCGCATACCACTGTGCAGATATTCAATTAAACTTAGAAACTTACGCGGGCAGCCAAACTTACCCAACACCAGCCACAATGCCTCGCGGTTCACCGTATCAAATGCCTTGGTGAAATCAACAAAAAGCGAGTACAATGTCTGGTGTCGTTCTCTGCAGTTCCCCTGCAACTGACGAGCCGCAAACACCATATCTATAGGGCTGCGACCCGAACGGAATCTACATAGCTCTTCCGCCACGTTAGGTTCCACAACCTGACGAGTCGGTTGAGCAGGATTCGGGCAATGACTTTGTCAACACAACTCAGCAAGTTGATGCCACGATAATTCGTGCAACATTGCTTGCTTCCTATTCCGTGGTACAATGATAGCACAAGGGTATCCTTCAGCTCAGGAGGCACCTCCTCCCCAATCCACACGCATTGCAGGAAGTAGTGCAGCGCAGTCAACAACGCGGGTCCGCTGTGTTTCAATACTTCAGGAGGGATCCCGTCGGCCCCAGCATACTTGCCGTTTCGCAGCTGAGCAAGTGCTCTCTGCGTCTCATCCAGTGTCGGCGTATCCGCCAGACTCGTCTTCACATCGTGCTGCTTCAGGAAGTTCAATGTAGGCCAGTCGATCTCTGAACGGTTGTTCAAGAGACAAAGTGTTTTCGCCAGATCTGCATTATGTCTGCAGCCTGTGTGCAGGTAGCGCCTGAACTACCATCGATCAGCGTCCTCAGCGGCTCCAATCTCGGTCTATACACCACCTTCAAGGAATCAAAGAATTCCTTGTGTTGGAGGCTTTGGGCGTAGCATTCCATCTGCTTCGCCTTCTCCGTCCACCATGCAATTTTTATGCAACGGAGCTCTCGGGTCAGCCGCTGTCGAAGTTTGCGAAACTGACTACTCCTCCCCAAGTAACTGGGGTCTGCCGCATGTGCAGCAAGTGCTGCATTCTTCTCCGAGACCAATGTGCCAATCGTCGCATTGTTGTCATCAAACCAACCAGGCTGCTTACATTTTGTGCGCCCGATGGTAGCAGCTGTCAGCTGGTCGCGAATGTGGTGCCACAGGTCGCCCATTGTGGCTGTGCAGTCCACATCACACAGGCGTGCAGCCATCGCCTTCTCCAGCTCAGTATGTTTCGCCACAGTACCGAGGGAGATAATGTTAAATTTACGCCAAATCACAACGGCAGTGCAATACATAGAGTTACGAAAATATATGTACAGTTTGGTCCTCACCAATTTGTGATCAGTGCCACACTCAGCTCCACGCAGTACACGTGTCATGCGCACTTCACGCATATCACGCTGACGTACGATGGCATAGTCGAGCAGGTGAGCGTGACCACGCCGTGGGTGCGTCCAAGTTGCTATATCACTCGTACTCAGTGCAAACCGAGTGTTGGTGATCGTCAGGCCGCGAGTGGCACACAGTGAGAGCAGCCTGTCACCGTTCGCATTCGCTGAACCAATGCCATGCGAACCGATAACATCTGTCCACACCGGTGTATCACGTCAAACGCCCGCATTGAAATCACCCAGCAGAAATAGTCGGTCGCTCTTCGGCACAGAACGTATCACGGAGGATAGCTCAGTGTAGAATTGATCAAGCGTGTTATCAGGATAACACATCGTCGGACCGTATGTGCTTATAAAAGTGGCAAACTTACCTCTTCCGAGTGATAGGCGAACAGTCATCAGTCGCGCACTGATGCCCGTTGGTTCACCCACCAAAAGGTCATGGAGACGATCGGATATTGCAAATCCGACCGCATGATCACGTGTTGCTGAGGCGGCGTTGCCCACCCAGTAGAATGTGTAGCCAGAACCTGCTTCATGCAAGTTACCTTGCTCAGCAAGCCGAGTTCCACTGAGCGCCGCAATATCGATGTGGGAGCGCGCCAGTTCCATCGCGACCAGTGTAGTGCGTCGTTCAGGGCGTTCGCTGGAGTTCCGGTCCAGTAGTGTGCGCACGTTCCAGCACCCGATGCTGAGTGCTTTGCGCGATTGCATTGGTGAGCAATCGCACGCGAGATGGACGCTTTTTCGTTGCGACCGCTAAGATCCAGGACATACAATTCCAAGGACTGAGCCTTGCGGTACGCCACTGTAGAAAGACTGTCTACACTGTTCTCTACTATCCAAGAATACAATCACTCAGTGAAGAGTACGACCGGATATACTGTAATAAGGTAGCTTTTGCGCAGGCCTCAAATGGAGTACAACGTTAACTGCCTTCGAAAAGCGAACGAAAACCATGTCGAATGCGTGACCGTAATTTACCACATCAGCCCCACTTTCGTGAGCTATCAACAGGCTCGTCAAACACGAAAATCCCTTCCGGAATACGTGTTAAGCATTGCTAAGTAGATTAAATCTATGCTGATGACCATCCAACGAATCTCAGCAATATCTCGTGGAGTTTAATTATTACACTCGTCATACGAACTGGCTTGTAATTAGCAGGCAAACTTCTGTCGCTATTTTCGAAGATAGCACAGATGACAGCTTCCTTCCAGGTAATGCACAGCTGGTAAGCTGGAAACACGATAGCGAACGGCCCACTTAGTTCCGCAGCCAATTCATGTAACAGATTCGGGCCCATTAAATCAGGCCCAGATGCTTTAGAAAAGTTTAGCTCTAGTAGTAGTCTACAGACTTCCGCCACCACTTGAATAAATTCAGCTAGGTACGAACCCTCTGGGACTCTAATAACCAGCTCAACGCCTGCCAATGATATATATATATATATATATATATATATATATATATATATATATAATGGTTAAAGGCTGACGCCTTGGTAACTATGGCTCTAAGCTCCATGACCCCTGAGTTCCACTCCAGCTCAAGATATCTTTATCTGATGAGTCCAAACGAGGACGAGACCGGTTATGGGGTGGCAGTGATGAGAGGAGCAACACCAAACCACCTCCAATCCGGATTCGGTCCTTGTGATGGTTAATGACCGAGGTCTAATTCAAAGTGGACCGAGGTCTGAATAGAGATTGCGTGTAGCAATCCAACCACACAGCGAGTACTCTAAATCAAACTTTGATCAGATTTAGTGAGAGGCATGAAGAGACAGAAGAAATAACGCAAGTAGTCGAACAGCCAGTCTCAGATTTTCTAACCAGCTCGAAAAGGCATATGCTCAACATTGCAAAGGACATCCTCAGCCACAAAAGTAACGATACTGTGGAAAATTCATTGCTTGCGGTAGACCGTTGTAGATAAGAACAAACTGTATTGCCAAAACAAGAACACAGGGAGGTTAGAGGGTTACTCAAATGTTAGTCTTCCGAAGAGGCTAGTCGCCAAGTCGCGCGTGCTAAAAAAGACTGATGATAGTAACTGCCAGGTCTCAGAAATCAATACGGATGCAAGTGCCGAAAGCTGTACCAATGCAGTTACGGCGTGTGGGATATATTAATGTGTGCACTTTCGAGAAGAGCAATTTACCCAAGCTCGTATTGCCGACAGCAAGCTTCGCGAAAATCTGTCACGGGAGACAGTTCAGCATGTACTGGCCGACCACCAAACCAACGAGTGTTCAATTCTTGGACAGCCTTCTCAGCATCTTCCTCACGACGGAACTGTGTGCGTCAAGCAGTGATAATGATGGATCGCTTACCTTGATGTAGACGTTGCCGACAAGATGATCTCCAAGATTGTCACACACATTCATCTCTTCGATTTCGCCATACTATGTTGACAATTAGGTTAGAGAAAGGTGGGAATCGTCTACCTTCTCCTCGCATTCCACGAAAACCTCCTCGAAAAATTCATCAAAGATTTGTTGTGCCTGGACTTCGGTAAGATTTACTGTAAAAACGGGAAAACGCTCGTATTTCACTTAGGATAGATAAAGAACAATAGAACAAAAAGCGAGTAAAACACCAAATCGGTAAGATAGGCAGTATATGTAAAGAACCATGATGGATCAGTACGATATGGTCTCAATACATGCGCTGTTATAACCCGAGGCGCAGTCACAGCACAAATGAAAAGCATAGTCACTTGAAAGGATCGAAATCGCAGGCATGTGGCAGTGGCGCATGCGACGTGATATAGCATAGTTAAAAAATGGTCACGTGGGCTACTGTCGCCTCCCGCGGCTCAGTGGTATGAGCCGCTAACTGCAGTTAGAGATTGTGGACTCAAGTTTTGGAAAATTCGAGGAACATAAGCCAATGATGAGTCCAAAAGGGATGAAACGGCTGTCCAGTACTGTTCCGTACGGTGTTGTCTGTGTGGCTGAGGCAGTCGTGACGAGGTCAAGCGAATGTCACCTAAGTTCTTTTCACACTCATATGTTCGGCAGGAGCACGAATCAGATAACTGGTTAACGGCTAACAAAGGCCAACCAATGGAATCGCTTGAACTGCTTTAATAGCGTGTGAAAACTGAATATTTGCCATGGTCATGGCCTGTTTAGGTCATAGTAACTGTATTTCCTGTTACTGTCGGGATTTGAGCAGATTGCTATCAAGATAGTTAATAATAATAATGTGCCAGCTGTGATTGATGACTGAGTGGTTAACTGTGCCATTATCTATACTACAAACACAAACATCTCGCAGCTCCAGCTAGGTAATTAGCATATCCTATGATAATTTGGTTCTGGCATAATATACGTTGTCGAACTATTTAAACAGAGCCGCACAAGGTATAACTCATACCAAATGGTAAGCTAAGAAAACACGCACATATGAATCGCCAATCAAGACAGGGGAACCTTATTTGTGACGGGAGCTTGATTTTAACTAAAGAAAATCAGAGGGAGACTACCAGATACGCGGATGACAGAGATCCGTCGCATTTGGCTTACACCGAGGTAAACAAAAAGTGGACCCCGATCAGTGACAAATGTCCAGGCATGCAGTGTGTCAACCTGAGACCAGAAGAGTTATCAAAAGTAAAAGCATGATCTCGCGTACATGCGTATCAGACTGGCAGAAACACAAGGAAGCAGCAACTATACGGTTGGAGAAATTTCAAAACTACATGATACTAAAATGTCAGTTGTGTCCGAACAACAATGTAAGAAAGAAACGTGATACATCAGAGTATACACTTGCAGTATAAAAAATCACCGTGTCAAAGAAATAAGGTGGTTTTAACGGTTTGTGCTTGTGCATGGTACTAAAAGGGTTGTGACGATTTGCAAATACCAAGGCCTGAAGTGCGTGGTGCTCTGCTTGAAACGTTCACATGCGCTCGCAATACATTGGCTAGCGATCATAGGCTAAGTTGAATGCGGCTTATCAAGATCTATTACAGGGTAGTAGAACAGGAAGCCGGAGCTTGTGCAACTATCGAAATACAAATGGCTGCTGGTGGTGCAGCAAAAACTACAATATAGTGCGAAAACCGAGGCATATTCCTGGGTTAACCAAGGAGTGTTCAACTCCTATAACAGATAGGTTACCTGCAAAATTAGCAGTCTGCTCCCCTACAGTACAGTTCAGTTAAGTGTAACAACTATGATCCGAGCACCGAAGTGCGGTGGATCTACATCCTTGTGCACATTAATTGAAACAAACTGCGAAAACACTGAAAAACCTTTTTTTCAAAATTGTTATAATGAATTGCACTAATATACTCACATCAATACACAACATGACATCCTCGACTTTTGAGTATCATTTTAATACGGTTTGGCATGGAATCCACTAAATTTGAACAAACTTTAGCCCATCTTGGGTCCCTGTACCAAACTTGAATTAAAGCTTGATTAAGTTTCTCCTTTGCCGTACAGTCCATGCCACGAAGGCGTTGCTTGCAAATAGACCACATATTTTCAATGGGGTTTAAATCTGGTGAATTCCCAGGCCAGTCCAAGATGGTTATTTGATTAGTATTGAAAAAAGTCTTGACCATTTTTGATGTGTGGCACGGGGCCAGATCTTGTTGAAATACGCCAGATCCGTCAGGAAATGTCTTTTTTAGTTCTGGAGAACTTCTATATATTGTGGAGAGCGCATCATGCCCTGGACTGAATGCAAGGCGCCGACGCAGTAATAACTAAAGCACCCCCAAAACATCTGCTTTTGTGGGTGTTTCACAAAGTGGTCAATGTGGGAATCACGAACCTTTTCTCCCTCTGACCTCCGAACATACTGACTTCTCTGACCATGAACATAGAAATGGCTTTCATCGCTGAATAGGACTTTTCTCCAATCTTCTTTTGTCCAGTTTTTGTATTTTAGTCCCCATTTGTAACGCTTAACTTTCATTACTTTTGTCAGAAGTTGTTTTTTCACAGGCCGTCTGGCTTTCCGACCAACTTCCAGGAGTCGCCTGCGAACCGTTGAAGAACTGATTTCTATTCCTTTCTCCCCCAAATCACGTTTTAATGCGTCACTAGTCTTTTGAGGATCTTTAACACTTTCCCGTATTAGGTAAGCGTCATCCCTGGCAGTGGTTTTCCTCTTAGGACCACATTTCCCTTTGCGTTTTGGCGAAATGCATCCCGTTTCCTTTTTCATTTTGACCACACGGCTGACGGTTGCCGGACTGACGCCTACTATTCTTGCTATGTCCCTGTAGGTCTTGTCTGTGTGTTCGTGCAAGGTCACGATCTTCATGCGCCTTCTGGGAGTCACGTCGATCTCAAACAATGACTGAATCACAAAAAACAAGAAGTTGAAACAAAAACCTTACTAACCATAAAAAGTATGATGCAATCTTGGGTGATGTAACCACTAGACATGCGCAGTTATTACATCGTCTGATTCACAAACAATGATGAAATATCTATTCCCAAAATAAAATAAAAAATAAATGCAAAACGGCAGCTTTCATGTATAAAAACATGATATTCATAGAAAAAGAGACACAATCGTAGTTTGTTTCAATTAATGTGCACAAGGATGTAGATGACACGACACATCCAGAATAACAATAAATAACTACGGAAAGATAATGAAGTTGAATGCAAAAAAGCAAGAGGCGCGTTACAGTAATCAGGATAGAATGAGAAATAACAACTAGACGCAAGAAACCGAATGCAATATGCAATTGACTGAGTGACTGTGTCATGTCTGATAGGGTTTCCAACCACTCCCACTGGTGCGGACCATACCGGGGCCCCATACACGAGGACGACACGTACCAGCCTGACCAAATTCGTCGATCGATTTCTTCATGCCTTTATGTAAAGTCACCGACTGGCCACCTCGAAGTTTCCCCCAACTTAGTGCAGCCACGGAGTACAATGTACGCTGAGAGTCGGTCAACGGGCGTACGGAAGACATGATCTAGCCAGCATTAGCGGTTCAGCTTAAGTAAACACATGAGGCACCAGAAAAAATCAACTGGCGGACCTCAGCACTGCTCATTCGGTGCTACCACCAGATGTGAGCAATACTCTGCAAGCACCGGCCAGGCGTCTAATTTCTTCGCCACGAACTGGTCAGATCTCTGATCAATACAATAACACCGGCCTTACCGCAGCGTTTTACACCCTACCTTCCACTGACAGACTGATACCCCGCCGTTGCCATAGATGGTCGCTCCTAAGGAAAGCCACACGGGCCTCGCTGATAAGCAAAGTAATTTCCTCAGTGATGTGAACACCAGAGGAAACAGCTACGAAGGTAAGTGAACCGATCAAAGATTTCCGATTGATAAAGCGGAATACCTGTAGCTCGGGTGATCTGTTCAGATTTCGTTCTGTTCTCCGAGCTGAACAGTTTCGTTGCAAACGTTTCATCACCAATCGTGGTGACTTCTTCAGTGCGTAATAAGCAAAGCAACTCACAAAGGAGGAGCACAACAGGATGAAAGCTCGTGACTCAAACATCGCCCGATTCTACAGACTCCCGAAGGTACACAAAGCTGGTGTGCCACTTCGGCCAATCGTGTCACTCCCTGGTACGCCCACCTACAACTTAGCCAAAGAATTATGGTTGCGCCTTAAACACCTGATTAGTGGCTCGCGGTATTCCATAAACAACGCTCAGCAGTTTTTGGAGAAACTCAAAGGGCTGCAGACTGATCATGAAGAAATAATGGTGTCCTTAGACGTTACCGCAACTTACAAGTGACGAAGGAAAACATTAGAGAACGCCTGAATGTTGGGGTAGGGACAATTGGGAATCTGACGACTGATAGTATATGCGAGCTTCTTGACTTGTGCCTCACGACCTACTTTAACTTAGACGGAGCATTGTATGGACAAGTGAAAGGAGCCCCAACGGGATCACCCATATCTGGACTCATTGCTGAGGTTATCATGCAAACGTTAGAAGAAAATCTACTCCCAGTCGTGAATCCGAAATTGTGGGTCAGATATGTTGACGACACGTTTGTCATACTCAAACGTAGCTAGTTGCATACCGCACAAAGCCTGCTGAACGATGCAATGGACGGTATTCACTTCACTATGGAGCCAGAAATGGAGAACAAACTACCTTCCTTGGAACTAGAACAGCGGACGGAGAACTACAAACATCAGTTTACAGGAAAAACACGCACACAGATCAAATAGTAAATTTCAACAGCAACCATCCGAAATGTCACAAAATCAGCTGCATACGCACCTTGTTTCGTAGGATAGAATCACATTGTAATACTGCAGAAGCAAAACGCGAAGAAAACCATATGTTTACATCCTTCATGCGCAACGGATAACCACGCAGTTTCATCCGAAGATACATGAACCACAGGAGTTCGAACACCACACATGAACCAACAACAACGAAACGGATCGCTTTACCATACATCAAAAACGTGTCGGAACTAACTGCTAAACTCCTCAAGCCTCACCATCTGTTATTGGTTCATATACGCAGCAACACTCTGAAAGAAACCCTGTCTAG